TGACAAGGGCATTAGACTTGACGAGTTGAGCGAGGATGTGCGGTCCAAGGTGATGGGAGTCTTGAGGGAGACACTTTCCCCTGAGGGCTACGAGAAGGCCGTGGGAGCGATGCGCATCAACGGTTTCCTTGGTGAGCTGGTCGAGTCGCCGGCTGTCATGAACGAGTTCTCTTACAACTTTGTTCTCTTCGGCGAGCCGTCCACGACGACACCATGGGGCTTCTCCTTTTACGGCCACCACTTGTGCCTCAACATTTTCTTCTACAAGACACAGATCGTCGTCTCACCGTGGTTCACCGGCGCTGAGCCAAATATCATCGACGAGGGCCCGTACAAAGGTACGCGCATCCTCGAGACGGAGGAAAAGCTGGGCCTGCAGCTCATGCAAAGCCTTACCCCTGAGCAACAGTCCCGGACCCAAACATTCAAGGAGATGAAGGACCCGGCCATGCCCCACGGCAGATGGAACCACGATGACCAAAGACACCTCTGCGGAGCCTACAGAGACAACCGGATCGTGCCCTACGAAGGCATCCTAGTATCGGCCATGACAACCGAGCAGCAGCTCCTCGTCGTGGACATACTGAATCAGTACCTCCTCTACCTCCCGCAAACCGCTCGGAACACCCGCCTCGAGAGCTACAAGACCTGGTTCCCCGAGACGTATTTCTCATGGATCGGAGGCTTTGGAGACTCCGATCCGTTCTACTACCGGATCCAGAGCCCGGTTGTCATTGTCGAGTTCGACCACCACTCTGGTGTGTTCCTGACAAACAAGGAGCCCGCCAAGTTCCATATCCACACCCTGCTGCGGACGCCGAATGCAGGTGATTACGGCATGGCGCTGCGGCCTCTCATACCGGGTCGGAAACAGGAGTATCTTTGGGAGGGGTGAGATTAGTTTCCACCAGTCGTTGTAGGCTGTAGCGCTCTTGAGCTGAAAAAGGTTCCTGTCGGCTGTCGGTTGTCGTTCTTGTGATATTATTGAACTCTCTCTGTTGCTGTTGTACAGCCATTATGAATGCCATCGTTTCCAGACGTGTCGCCATCCCATTCGCTTTCTCTCTCTGGTGTGGTATCACAGAGGTTTTGTGATGACGACTTGGCTGCCTGGCTTCGTCTTTCCAAAGCTACATATTTCCCCATGATTGTTGCACTTTGCTATCAGGATGACGGGATAGGTTGGGACGATAGCCTACAGGTGTGGTCGTGGGCCTCCCGCATACGGGCGGCCCCTATTCTTCCAACCACTTCAGCACTTTTTACCGATGTTATTTTCGCCAGGCTCTCATGTCCACGTAAGACCGTCTGTCCCAAAACTGGGGGTTTAACTCTGCGGAACAGGCGAGATGATATATATCCCCTAGTCGCCGGCCGCGCTTGTGCTGCCGCGCTTTCAGTGTTTGTACGCTATCTCCTCTATACTATTTACGATTGCTTTCCATTCCGTATTAAATCTTGCTCTTATAGACACCTAAATTCATAATGCCAGGGAAGAAGAAAGGCAAAAACTACTATGCTGTAGCTCGTGGAACAGGGGCACCTTTCATAGGGTCCTGGTGAGTCACCTACGCCTCAATCGTGTTTTCAAGAATTTAGGATTAAAAGATACATCATCCATAATGTATACTTACTACCCCCCAGGTCAATGGCCAGTTGGTCAACAAATGGTTTTTCGGGTGCTAAGCACAAAGGCTTTGTTGACTTGCCCGATGCACAGAAATGGCTCGAAAGCGAAGGGTTCTCCGATGTTCGTCTATATGATGCCGTTGGTTCAAGTGAGGATTGTCGGGCGCCAAGCTCACAGGAACCAGGCTACTACGCTGTGGCCAACGGCAGAGACAGGGGAATATATCTGACATAGTAAGTCCATCACCTGTGGTTATCTGACCTATTCCAATGGTAAGACAAGGTACATGGCTAATGCCGTATTTTCATCAACAGCTCTGGCGCCGCCGAAGATCAAGTCAAGAGATACTCTGGGTCATGCCACAAGAAATTCCGAACCCGCCAACAGGCACAACTTTCCATCGATCAGTATGACATGATGCCGAATGAAGTCAGTCGCAACAGGGACCCGGAAGATGCCCTTTCATCATCAATCAGTGAACATTTGCAGCGGCTTAGCCTGGATTCTTCTTCATCCGAGGCTTCAGATCTTTTGGTACCGGAGCCTACTAATACCTTTTCGGAGGATAACAAGCTTTCTGAATCAGATAGCGATGAGTGACCGATAGTTGTCATGGAAGCATCCTGGCAGTAATGCTGGAGTCGGTCTAGTCCAATATCATGGTACGCTGTTTCGACTTCACGACTCAAGGGGATTATAGATGGGATGCTCGACGGCTTCATGAGTCCTCCGTTTCACAGACATTGACTCAAACTATATGGGATGCAGTCGCTTGGACGTATTATTGTCCGTCACTTAGTTTGGGCCCAACTACAACGCTCTAAGTGATTCAAGGAAACCCATGTTGAACACGCGAGCGTCATTAGCAGTATTAAATGATTTACGTTTCCGTAGGAGGTGATGACCGACGTGTCACGTCCTACCCCTGTCCCAGTTGCTTGTGTTCTATACTCCTTACAGAACGTAGCGGAACATAGTCTATAGCAGGTGTCAGTAAGGGTTTGTCCGAGGATGCGTTCGGGATACTCACGTTTTCCTTGTCGGTGATATCTTCGAAACCTTGCAGTTCGCTCTCATTCTTAAGCTGCAGGAGCTCCTCTTCCGACTTTCCAGCAATGAGCTTATCTCGCTTCGCGTTCTCGCGGACATACAGAAAGCGAAGAACCTGGTTGAGAACGAGGTTGATGATGAAACCGCACAGCATAGCAACAATACCGCTCTTGTACGCCGGTGCCTGGGTGCTCTTGAAGAACTGCGGCCCAGATATCTGGCCCACACAGTACATGACAAACACCCATCCGGACGCCACTGATCGCTTCGTGCTGCCAGCAATGTTTGTCGAGAGAAGACCGAGGATGACCATGAAGCCGACGGGGTACGAGCCCAGAAGCCAGACGCCGACGAGTCGGCCCCATCTGTTTGCCAGTTCGAGTTGGTTGATGATGACAGTTCCGACGATCTGGCGCAATATTAGCATTACGCACTGCCGGACGCGTACATCTGTCATTAAAGCAAGAGACTTACTGGTGGTAGCATGGCCACGGTCGCTATGTGCAGACGGGCTTTGGGGATCTTTGATGCCAGTAACCCAGCAGTGAGCTGTGTCACTAGCTGCACAGCCGACAGAGGCAATCCCATCAGAGTGGTCTGGAGCGGGTCAAACCCGAACCCCTGGATGACCAACGATGAGAAAGCCAGTCCTCCAGACGCGATAGCGTTGACGAATGAGATGAGACCCAGTACAATGACCTTCGGGTCCGTCACCGCCTCGATGATCTGAGCCTTGACGAACCTTCGGCTCTTGGTACCCATCTTATTCACCGCGATACGCTGGACCGCGATAACCTTCTCCTCCTCTGTCAGCCACTTCACCTGGGACGGGCTGTCCGGAACGAAAATGGTGAAGATGACACCCCACACGATTGTGACGGCACCGAGGATGATGAAAATGTACTTCCACGGCTTCAAGCTGCCGGTGATGTGCCCGATGCCGTACGAGACCAGCGTGCCGACAAAGCTACCCACACCGAGGAAGGAGATCCACAGTGCAGATCTTCCTGCTTGCTCTTGTCTGGTCCACCACATGCCCGTCACGGCCACGAAGCCCGGGGAGATTGTGGCCTCTGTGACACCCAACAAGAACCGGACAGTGGCCAGCCCGGCAAAGGAGGAGCACGCGGCCGTGGTCATGAGGATGCAGCCCCATAGGATGATGTTTACTCCTAGGAACTTGGCAACGGGGAATCTCTGCAGGATGGCGACGCCGGGGTACTCGGCAGCCAGGTAGCCAAAGTAGAAGATGGAGGACACCCATGAGTAGTTCTGACCGACCAGGTGGTTGTCCGGGATGATGCCGTAGACCGATGAGTAACCCAGGCTGGTCTTATCGATAAACTTGTTTAATTTGCAGGTTAGGACTCAAAGGTTTAATAGAAGAAGGGATTAAAGAGGTATTTCCTACTTGCAGGGCGTAGGTGCAGCACAGGAAGGGCAGGATGTACATGTCGATCTTCCTGAGAACACGCTTCGATGCGGCTGGGTCGACAACACCCATGCTCAGGGCTTGGATAGCTAGGGCGCCGGTTTCATCCTTGATAGAGACCTTATGGATGGAAGACGTCCCGTCGTTGACATCGTTGGCAACCTCAATATCATCCCCGGTGGCACGCTTCTCCGGGTCCCCACCGGTGCCTGCTGCGGACTTTGTCGTGTCTACTGTGTCTGCCATCGTCGATACCCGCGTCCTTGCCCGGTTTCAAGTGCATAGGACAGTTGAAGTCGGTATTGAGAGGTGGCCCGAATCGAGCAGAGACTCGTGGCAGAACCCGACCTATCTATGGCTGACGACGGCCGGATTTGCTCCGACCGTAACCATTGCCCTCAGATATCCGTTGCACTGGGAGTCTGGGGAAAGACCCGACATCTTGGTTATCAGTCTAGATCCTTGGGTTTCGGTGCGGAATCGTCCGAAGCGTGCTGATAAGACCAATTGCTTGAGCGATGACTCTGATTCGGTAACGCGTGTGCTTCTCCGCAGCCACTGAAAGAGGCCGGCAGTCGGGAGATCACAGAGGTCGGTGAGCTACCCCACGCCGTCGGGTATCGTGATCTCAAAGACATTCTTAAGATGTTGTCGAAACTTGAAGGATCACGCTAAGAGGTTACCTAGTTTTAACTCTCGATATCAGTGCAAACGTCGGACGTCCCCGTTCGCCTACTTCGAAGATAACATAAGCGTACCTAATAAGGAAAAAACATACGCTGGCTTGGTTGTACGAAGGAAGTCCACAAGCAGCATGCAAAATGTGTTTGGGATTAAAGGAACAACATCTGGAATATTTGGAAAGCAGAAGCAAAACGCAAAAGTACAAGGACCTGTCGTGGTTCGAACACGAGACCTGCCGATCTGCAATCGGCTGCTCTACCACTGAGCTACAAATCCTTATGATTGGTGGTGAATTCCCGAACACTAAATGGCACTACACCGTTACCAAATCCAGGTCTAGACAAATTAATGTCTCCACTGTTTTCCAGCACCTCAGCTCTCACCACTGGAACATTTGGCCATTCCTCCAAAATCCACCATTCCTCTCAGTCTTCGATTCTCCATTGTCAATGGATTCGCCGACTGCACTGCTCGTCATGTTCGCTATTTTTGGAGTCCAAAGGATTGGACCAGGCACACAATATCAACATAGATGAAACGGTGGTCGCTATCTACATGCAGCTGCAGCTGCAGTGCTGCCATCCACTCCCTGACCATGACGATCTTGGCGTTACTTCGTCAATCACGACATGGTTGAATTGCCGTCGACGGTTGCATAGGCGGCTAATCGAGCAAGGAGGCGAAAGGCAACGTGTTTCTACCTCCACCAAGATTGAGCCTGATATTATACCGTCTATCCAGCACCGCGTCTGGTAAGACCAGCCCCTCATCGAGGCTGCCAGGCCGTGTCATCTAATCCTACATCAGCCATTTGGCGGAAGCGATCAACAAATGACGCCGACACTGCCCTGTCAGTCGTCATTCGACACTGATATAGACACGTGCGAGTCAATCGGCCTACCATATCGCGTGGCGAGCTATATAATGCAGAGGTCCCTTCCGCAGACGTGAATGGGAACTCGTCGGTCGTGGAACCGGAGACTTGAAGCTTCGGGCTGATCACCTTGCACGACCGAGCTCATACGATCCCCAGGCGTCTCCCTCGTCATGAATCTCGCTATGTGGTTCCGTCGGCACTTGAATGCACTTGCATGTCTGACGCTTGCCGTCACTCCTGGTGTACTGGGTGGTGTGCATGAGAAGCTGTCGTTCGTGCCTCATGGCTGGACTGAAGCTGGTCCACCTGTGGGTTCAGTTACGGCGACCTTCACAATTGCACTCCAGAGAGAGTTCGAAGGTTTGGAGCAGAAGCTCTTGGATTTATCGACCCCTGGAAGCCCCAACTACGGCAAATGGCTTGACAGGGACGCGGTCGAAGCTCTTTATCCGCCGCCGGCAAACGCTACATCGAAGGTGGTGGAATGGCTACAACACAACGGCATATCGAACTACAAGGTTGACGGAGCATTCATCGACTTTTCGGCAGACGTTGAGACCGTGAACACTGTCTTGGATGCCTCCTACCAGCTTTATCGCAACAGCGGCGTGGCCAAGCTTCGGACACTGAGCTATTCAATCCCCGACGACCTGCAAAGTCTCGTTGCATTTGTCGACCCCGGCACGTTTTTCGGCCGCCTGCCTGCTTCCCCTGTTCGTGCGCCATCCAAGACGAGACGCGCCGACACACCATCGAACACGACTGTGGATGCGTCCTGCCAGACGTCCATCACGCCAAAGTGCCTCAACCAGCTGTATCACATTGGAGAATACCAACCGGACCCCAAATATGGCAGCAGAATAGGCTTTGGTAGCTTCCTGAATGAGTCTGCATTATATGCCGATCTGACGGAATATGAGCGCTTTTTTGGCATCCCAAGCCAGAACTTCACCAAAGTGCTGATTGCAAATGGAACCGATGACCAGGATCCCGCACACGGCGGGTACGGCGAAGCGGATTTGGACGTGCAGAACATTGTCGGCGTGGCACATCCACTTCCTGTCACCGAGTTCATCACGGGCGGATCACCGTAGGTTAACCAAGCCAGTGCGTGAGCAAGAGTGACATATACTTACATGACTAGACCGTTCATCCCTACGCTTGGTCAGCCTACTCCTGCGGATAACAACAACGAGCCTTATGTGCCGTACTACCGCTATCTCTTGTCAAAGAAGAACGATGAGCTGCCCCAAGTGATTTCCAACTCGTACGGCGACCAGGAAGATGTACGTGATCTCACTGTCCGCTACGCAACATGACCCCCAGCTTAACGTCTCACAGGGTGTTCCACTGGACTACGCCAAGCTCACATGCAACTTGGTCGGCCTCCTCGGCCTCCGGGGCATAACAACCATCTTCTCGTCAGGCGACGGGGGTCTCGGGGGCGCCTGTCTCGCGCCGGACTACAAGACGGTCGAGTTCGACTCCGTCTTCCCAGCCTCCTGTCCGTATCTGACCGCCATCGGAGGCACGTCCAACTCGACGCCTGAGATTGCCTGGGACGGCAGCTCGGGCGGGTTCAGTCGGTACTTCGACCAGCCCTCGTGGCAGAAGGCTACCATCGACAACTACATCAAGACACAAGTCAGCAACGAGACATATGCCTACTACGGAAAATACACCAACTGGGCCGGTCGCGCTTTCCCGGACGTCTCTGCGCACAGCCTCGATCCCTACTTCCAGGTGATATATGCCGGGAAGCCGGATGGTAGTGGCGGGACCAGCGCGGCGGCGCCGGTATGGGCTGGAATTGTAGGCTTACTGAACGACGCGCGGTTAAGGGCTGGAAAGCCCACCCTGGGTTGGCTGAATCCTCTGATCTACGGCCTGGCCAAGGACACGTTCATCGATATCACCGGTGGTTACACGACTGGATGCAGCGCCAGGGGTGGTGGGATTGTCCCTGGTGCCAGATGGAACGCGACTGTTGGCTGGGACCCGACGACGGGGTTTGGAACTCCCAGCTTTCAGAAACTCAGGGAGCTCGTTCTGACGTTCTAGCTTTGAGGGCATGGTGTTCGTTGGCATCTCTAGACGTTCTGAGTAAGAGGTCTTAGATGGAAATTTTCTTAATGGGACCAGACTCTAGAGGGCCAGGCGAATTCGTGTGTTCAAGCATACACCTTCTATATACATGCCCCCGCCTGAGACCGGATAAGTTCCGTAATCTCGAAGACCGTCACAGCCCTTTCACACCGACCATTAAGTAGAAGGGGTCGGAGTCAATCTTCTTCCGCATATCCCCAGACGCCAGTTCGTCCACATCCCACGCAGCCCATACAAAGCGTCCGTGAAGGAACGCGGCTGCAGGAGATGCGGCCCATACTGCGAATTGTCCCGGCATATCCTCTGCCAGAGATCGTTAGTCGTTGCGCCAAGTTTAAACAAGAAGTATAGTAAAGCAGCGACCCCACCGTTATCCCACGGGATCGTGGTCTCTGTGTACCCAACGCTCTTAGCAGCTTCAGTGAAGACTACTCCGGGATGGAAGCTGAGAATTTGCATCTTCGCAGCCGGGGTGTCTCGAGCAATCATGCTCATTACGGCTGTGAAAGAGCTTTTGGTTATGCTGTAGATGGGCAGCTGCGGCGCCGAAGTCCAGTCGTGGATGCATTGGGTCGACACGAAGAGACAGTACTTCTGCCTGTCGTGGTTGGGCTGGTGGTAGAACCTGTCGACCAAGAGCAATGGTGCATGGACATTGGCCTCGTAATCTTCCCAGGCCCGTGCCGTGCCTTGTTCCATTATGGGCTGGACGGCAGGCTGGTGGGTGGCACTAATGACGAGGACGTCGACCGCGACTCCTTCGTCTTGAAGCGAGTCCCACAGTACCTTGGCATCTGACGATGACTGGAAGCTGCCTACACGGCCTACGACTTCGGTGTCTGCATAGGCCTCGTTCAGCTTCGCCACCGCTTCGTTCAGAACAGTCGGACGGCGTGCAAGGATGATGACCTTGGAGGCCCCAGCGGCACAGAAGTTTCGAGCGATAGCATGGCCAATGCCAGTTGAGCCTCCGAGGACCAAGACCGTTCGACCTACTTGAGACAGCTCTGGCCTTGTTGGAGCTATCCGTGGATAGGGCTCCTTGTGTAATGTCTGGACGTCAAGCTGTCAGTGAGATCCAAGCATGAAAGAGGGTACTATAGGTATGAAAAGGCACCACAAACAATGTGATTCTCCATCATTATGTTTCCTTTTGAGGAAGGACCTATTCAGACTGCCGAGATTGACTTGTATGTTCAGGAAGATGAATTCTTGTTGATCACAAAGCGAGACGCCATGCTCCTCGTTTTATACAGCTGTTGAACCCAGGCAGATCTTTCTGCCCCCTCGCGAATCCTCAATCCTGATCGGATTCGGCGTGACATCAGGGTCTGAATATGATCAGGACATAATCCTTCTGAGCTGGTCATGTCGTTTTTGGAAAATGTGAAGAGTGAGAAATTGAGAATTGTCATCAACACGTTCGGCAGTCAGTCGTTTATTTGGCTTGGAAAGGCTTAGCGCGATTCTTCCGGGTGCAATTAGTGCTAAGGAACCCTAAGTCCGGAGATACAAGTCCGACATACAGCGGAACTTGCTTATGTCCAAATCTTGACCACCGTTTTTTCCCCTTTTGTTTGCACACGGAGACTAGGTGGTCCATAGCAACATCCACCGCACCACTAAACCATAGTGCCTTGACTCGTCTAATTCGCCTAACCTGTGCCTCCGGAATCTGTGGACATGCCTTCGTATTGTACCGCTACGCTTTCAATCTGTGGTTAAGGGGTCATCGATTACAGGGTGCCCAGAGGTGACTAGTATCATTCAGTCTCGGTTACAGACTGCACGGCCTGCGCGCGTCAACGGATCATAATGGGGGACCAATCTAGGCCTATTGGAGACGCAGTTAGGCTTCGACGGTACCACACCCGGAACAGAACAGGCTGCTCGACCTGCAGGCGCCGCCATGTGCGCTGCGACGAGAAGCGTCCGTCGTGGTAAGTTTCGTGTTTGGTGGCCGGCTAGCTCAGAGAGTGGCTCATCCCCTGGCACATTAACTCACTAATGCTGCCGAATGCAGCTCGAAGTGTCTTGCCGGGAAACGAGCATGCGAGTACCTTAGCATGGAACCAACCCTCCGAGAACGCAGGTCCAACAGCAGGTATCTACCTGGCCAGCAACAGCCATGGGCAGTTCATGAGGCTCAGAGCACGCTATCATTCTCGATATCGCAACTTTCCCGCAATGCGTCTGTGAACCCTTTCGACACGTTTGCCGTCCAGATGCCCCTCAAGTCACAAGAGCTATTTTACTACTGTGAGTCCCGCCTATACTACCTCTTTCATCCTGT